TGCTTTACACTTAGATACATACAAAATGCGAAATGATGCGAAATGAATATATCCATGATAGGGTTGGTGCAGCTCCTGTGACAGACAAAATTGGTGCAACTCTTGTTTTAGATTCGACTTGTGTTAAGAAAGGCACAAGTAGACCTAAGATGACTTGGGCTTCTTGTATAAAAAATGATCTCAAATTACTAGAACTAAATGAAAATATGACACTAAATAGGACGCAATGGAGAAAAAGGAATCATGCAACAGAACCCACGTAGTGGAATTATGGTTTTGTTGTTGTCGTTGTTTTATTCTTTTCGACATTGCATTTTATTATGACATATAAGAAATTCTAAGTTGTTGATTTGTCCAATTGCTCATTAATATTTGTTTAAATTTATCATAAAAATAACTTTAACCGTGTTATATGTGCAAAGCCTTTTAAATTAGAGTATATATTTAATAATACATAAAATCAACAAATATATGCAATATAACATTACTAACAAATATGTTATATTTTAAATCATTTATAAATCTTATCTTCTATAATATCATGAGTTAGTCATCAAGAAAATTTCAATGTATTTAATTGACAATGAATTGATTATAAAAAAAAAATTATTAAAATCATGCATTTTAATCATCTCAATGATATTGAGTTTGAAATTATATTTAATGATGGTGACATAAAAAATAAATAAAAATAAAAATAATTAAAATAAACATTGATATTTTTAAGTGAGAAAAACTTAAATTAAAATAATAATTATTCTTCCAACAAATGTACGATTACTCTGCATAAATAATATTAATTATAATTAACAAAATCAAGCCATCATTTCTTTTTGTTTTTAGGTCAATATTCTATCTAATATTATTTTGTCCCTAACCTTTCAATTTCCTTAGGAAATTCATAATAATAATAATAATAATAATAAATAGTGTAAAATTATTTAATTTATATAATTAATGTGTAAATATCTTGTATTTTAATAAATTTCTAGCATTTACATGGGCACTACTGGCCAATAACTATATACTAAGTGTGAGTTAATGTTTAATAATATAAAATCATTTAAAAATAGAAAAAACAAAAAATAAAATAAAATTAGCCAATCAGAGCTGACAACATGAATGGCACAAAACAAAATTGGGCATTGAATTTTTGAAGGTGGAGAAATTTTCAAAATCCAAGCAATTATAACATTTGGTGAATTAGATGCATTATTAATTTTTTTAAGCGCGGTTAAGTATATACCGCCTGTTGAAATTAGATTTATCGTGTTGATCATGCCCCAGGCACAGAACTTGAGATCCGATGAAAAGAGAAAGAAAGAGAGAACGAAAGCTTTACCCCATGGGGGACGAATGTGTGACTTGTCGTTTAGTTAGTGGAAAATCTCCAAGTTATTTTCCTTGTCCCACACCATCCATTTCTTATGTATTTATATAGTTAACACCTATTTTTTTTTCATATTATATCACTCAAATATTTCATATCACATAAAAAATCAATACTAATATTTAAATTTAAAAAAAAAAGAAATATTTATTTTCATATATAGACAAACTGAAATAAATGCAAAATAGAAGTTTAGGAGACGTAAATATTCCCTTACTTTTTATATTCATAAAAATAGAATGAAGGCTTTTTGTAATACTATTTAATTAATTTAAAGCCTTAAAATTTTCACAAAATATTATTTGATTGTCTTAAGCCATGTCTGTCCATCTCCCTGCCTAAATTTTAGTATTATTTGGTTTTTTAATTGGAGCAAACAATGCTTATGAAAAATTAAACAAATTAAAGTAATAAGAATTAGGGTATTTACATACATACCAGCTAATTCTTATGTATTTACATAGCTGACCCTTAAAATTTAATTTTTATATTTATAACCATCAATTTTTTCATATCGCATCCAAAATATTAGTTGTTTAACTTTTTTTTTTTTTAAGATAAAAGGATAATTGTATACAAACCACTCGAAACATTGATGTTCACAAACTAACCAATTAGAGGATTTTTTTGAACTAGCAAATTGAAGTATTTATGCATGCCGTGATTGGATTATTGAGTTTGATAAAAATAAAAAACATGGATAGGGATTTCATCATGAATTTTGATGTCTGAGTTAGGATTTGAAAAATGGATTAAGCACCTGGTTGAGGTAGGTGCAGCTTATTAATAATCTGTCGCACTGCAACTGCCACGGAAAGCTGTTGCGCAGAAGTTGATGCAGATAACTGGTCGATTATTTGTTATTTGTAGTTTGAAAAGAGTTCAAATGCAACTGTTTTTGGACAAATGAAAATTCTACCCCTACGTAACAATGTTGTTTGCATCATAACTATCATAACAACATATTTAATACTTTATAAGCAAAAATCTAGTTCACAGCAGTACAAAATATATATATATACACCTCACTTAACAGTGAGTTTCATGCTTGTTAAAATAAGAAAATGACTATTAAAGTAATATTTAATAATATGATAATATTATTTTTTAAATGCATACGACACACGTCATGAGCTAGGTCATCCTTCAGGGATTCTCTCCATGCCCGGTCACCTTTAGTGGAGAAATCTTCTAGCCTATCTGCCCACCAAAAGATACCACATTTTTTTGTGATTCTCAGCGTGCACCTATACAACTGTCTTTCGTAGCTATATGGCTGACATGACGTCAACAGGGAACTTTGAAGTCTACAGTGGCACCGAGGTACCCGAAATCCATGGACCCCCACAGAGATTTCACACGATATTTGGTACAAGTAGTTATTTAAGGTAATTTCCTCAATTTATTACATTAAATTTTCAAAAAAAACATCTCAATCATGTAACCCTTTGTTATATTTCTAGAATTGTATCGGAACAATCAGTGGAACACACATTGAAGTGTGTACTCTAAACAATGAGAAAATCATATTCATCGACCATTGTGGGTCTGTGACACAGAATGTCATGGCGGTATGCGACTTTAACATTTGTTTTACCTTTGTCATGATCAGTTGAGAGAGCAGTACACATGATAGTCAAATGTTCAAAGCTGTAACATGAAATAACAAATACAACTTCTCACATCCACCTATAGGTACACTTGAGACTAGATTGCTCTCCTAAGTCATTTTTTCTCTCAATATTAATCATGCAATTCATATAAGATAAATATTATTTAGTAGATGATGAATATCCATTGCAGCAATGATATCGCAAGCCTTATCCTGATACAAGATACCATATATCTGACTTTGAGCGAGACAACAATGTCACGTGAAGCAGAATATAAATGTCTAATAAAAGACACTCATCCTTGTGTAATGTCATTGAGAGGATATTTGGCATTTTGAAGAAGAAATGAGTTATACTTCGTGACATGTCATTTTACTCATTTCCCAAACATGTGTAAATTGTGATTGTCACGATGACTCTCCACAATTATATTTGATGACATCCTTCTCGCAATGACATTGACTTCTGTAGGGCGGACGAGGATCTTGAGCATTTTCTTGCCGTGGCATTTAAGTACCATCTTAAGTACTATCTTGGACATTCATTGTCACATGTTGAAAATGATGCTCCTGAGACATGTACTAAAGACGGGGGAATGTGCAACCGGGATAACAAAGTTAAGAAAATGAATTACAGATACAATTGTATGAGGGTACTCTGAGTATTCATTATATTATTAATTGTAATGGTTGTTGAAGAGGTTTATTATATTTGTATTTTATATTTATATAGTTAATATTTATTTCCGTTATTTCTTTATTTGATATTGATTGTTTGGGTTTTTTATGTTGTTTGTAAGTGTTTTTATTTCTTTTGCATTTCTTTTGTTTTTCTTTTCGGTGAGTTTTGAGGTCTATGATGATACATTTGATCTTATTAGTTCATCTGGATGGTATGTTAGTCGTTATTGATTAATGTTACATGTGAAATCCCATTGAATGCAACCAAGTTCCTTTCTTTTTTAGTGATGCAGATCTTGGGGTTTTTCTGGATGACATTTTTTGGTGATATGCATATGTGACACATACGAGCTTGATATTACGTGAGTTAAATACAACAAAAAACTATTTTTTATAAGATTTGCTGTCTTTTTGTAGTGACAAATTCGTTAGTTAATATACTGAGTTCTTTAAGCCCCCACACATGCATAAAACTGTAATTAATTACTTCTTTTACCAATTTCTACTTGTGATATGTCTGATGTGTTGTCTTTTAAAGCATTCATGGAAGATGGACTCGAAGATTTCTGGTGTCTCCAGAGGATTGCATTGCTACTGTGGACTTAAGAGTTTTCTATTAACCTCACACCAGCCGCATAACTACGAGAGACAGTTTTATAGGTGCCCACGAAGAATAATGGAGAACTATGACTTTTTTCAATGAACATATATACTAGAAGATTCAATCGGTGAGAGTGAACATGCATGAAGAGTATCTCCGAATGACAACTTAGCTTGTGACATACATCATCAGCATTTTAAAAATAATGTTATCATATTATTAAATGTTATTTAAATAATTTTTTAATAGTTTTTTAATTAATTATTATAATCACGAAACTCACTGTTAAATGAAGTGTATATTTTTTGTCATGTTTTGCAGTGGGTTTTTGTTTCTAAAGTATAAAATATATTAGTATGATAGTTCTGTTGTAAACAATATTACAATACTGGGGTAGAAAGACTATTTGTCCAGAAACAGATGAGACAACTGTTATTAAACAACAAAAAACAAACTAACTAATTTATCTGTAGCGGGTTCTATGCAACAGTTTATTATTGAACTACAACTGCCCCAAAGACACTCTTTTTCTTTAAAGTGTTAAAAAAAATTTAAAAAATAATATTTTTTATTAATTTTTTTTATTATTTATCTTTTAATTATTCATTCAATGGATCTATTTTAAATTAATATTATTTTAAATAAAGTACTTGCCAGCCAGCTCAAACTCAATTTTGAACTAAAAAAAGTTAATTAAACTTAAACTCAAAAAGACTCTGGCCGGACCCGATCTTAGCCAGCCAGCACACCTAGCCCCGCCCAAGAACGCTGTTGTAATGGAACCCTAATTCCTGACGCCCCTTGGAATCGAAACCCCCATCCGCCTTACAACTGCTTTCCTCGTGCAATCCATTATCTTCTTCCACAACTAGCTTTCCCTCTGGCGATTGATCGTCTTCTTGTACCTCCACACATCCTCTCAGTCCCGGAGTCGCTCGAGCTCGCCAGATGACAGCACCAAGACAGACTAGGGTGAAGGAGGGAATGTGGATTTACAGAAAGATTTAAAGGTGATTGCTTCAGATCTTCCTTTCTAAATTCGCACTCTGTCGTCTTCTTGTGTACTGATAACTTCATATTTATGCCACTCAACTCTACATTAATGGTTAGCGTATTTTGCATTTACGGACTAGCGTTGAAACTAGTGTAACAATGTTCCAGTTATTGAATGTTTTCTTACTGAAATTTTGAAGCTATTGGTCTTCAGTCACTGCATTAAAGCAAAGGATGAGCTTAGGAGGTGCGTTTAGGAACATTATTCGCCCCCTGTCATTAAGAAGGCTTTTGCCGATCTCTGCAAGACTATCTGATGCGGTTCCCTTTCCTTCATCAATAGAGCAGTCCCAATGCCTTAGACCTACGTTCATGATTAAAGAGCCCTTGGGTCTTTCTTTGACGCGATTGTTCGGCACTTCAAGTGGTGGTGCACCTTTTCAGAGCTTGACTGATACTCGTTTCCCAAAGAGAAGGCCTGGAACAAAGCCTCGAAGAAAGAGGGCAAGTCTCAAACCCCCAGGTCATCTTCTACCTACTGCTTGTTCATTTGAAGAAATTTTTTTGTTGAAATTTCTTTAAGTAGCGCCCATTGAACATTTGTTTCCGTTTTTTTTATTTATATTGGTAAATTGTTTTCATTTATCACCTCATGTTGATTTCATGTGTTACCAAATCATTAAAATGTGTGTTTTTTTGTTTACTATTAGTAACTACTATTGTTTTAAAATGTTTTATTAACCTTTCTTTGGCAAGTAATTAGGCTCTAGATGAACCAAGTGCCCTTGGCTTAGGTTTATTTATGGTATTTAAACATATCTATGTGTTTCTTAAAACTTAAACCATTTATTCAAAAATTATTATATGCATTAAAAGTTTATTCATTTACGTTTTTTTATTTTGAATAAATGATATTTGAAGTAGAGTATATTGGTGCATACTATTTATTGATGACGTAGTTTTAATTGATGAATGTCTCCCAAATTAAGTAAAAAGTTAAAACAATGCATGTATTTCTTAAGAAGAGTAAGGTGTAGGGGGAATCAAGGAGGGAAGTTTACAAGACTTGATACTTCGTATTTGGGGAGGTGGAAGAGGACGAAGACGCATGAAAGGGGGAGACTAGGATAAGAGGATATCGAAAGAATCTATCGACTAACCTCATGGGAATACATTTTTTAAGTGGTTTGATTATGTTTACTACATCCATTATAGAGAGAAGGATTACACTATAATCGAAAAATTTTATATGGTATTAACTTCTCTTAGCTGAGTGAAGAAGCCATCCAATTGAAAAAAGAGGGGCGTGTTAAAAGATTTTGGTTTCTTCATGACCCTAACCAATATTGTGGAAGATGGACTATAAATACCTGACAACCGATTATATACACGCTTGGACTCTGTACATGTCACAGGAAGTGATGACATTGAAAATAAATAACTTAGATACAATGTTTGGATGGAGTTGTGGCTTTGTCAACAATGGTTAAATGAAACAAATTATTGATAATTTCTGACACTGACATGATATTGAAGGTTGTGGTTGGTTAAATCCTAAATTTGTTACGTTTAGGCAATGAGTAGTGCTTTGGTTGAAATGAAGGTTCGTGATGAGCCATGGAGATGCGATCATGATTTGAAATGATAAAAATGATCGCTTCAAGTAGTGTGATAGAGTACTCCAAGATTTCATTGGGTGGATACGGTCTCTATGTAGTTGATTTATTGATTATGTTGTTTAGTTTGAGAGGGTGTTGAATAGAAATTTGGTTAGGAATTCTGGTGTGCTATGATAATCATGAAATTGACCTCATTATAGATTGCGAGACCAATAACTTTAGAAAGAGAAATGATCAATTTAAAATTGGGCTAGGTGGTTGTATTGATAAGTTTCGGCCAAGTTGAAAAAGAGTATTTGATTAGGTAAAAAATCCTTCAAGTGTGATCAATCTTATTACAATTGAATTTAATCCTCAAGTTAGATATGGTACAATGTGATTGATTCGAGCTAGTTGATAGGGTTGAATTGTACGGAGACATGAATCATGCTTGAACGTGCTGTCAACTCGAATGTTGCTCAATCCAACTGGGAAGCAAGGTCTGCTCTAACTCGAGAAAATCTAGAGTTTGATTGTTCTAGCATATAGGATTGAACTGTATGGAGTCAGATGAGTTGGATTCAACATGGTATTAAGTTGAACATTCCTCAACCTGACTGGGAAACAAGGTCAGATTTGATTTCAAGAAATCCAATGTCTGATTGTTTTGTTTTTGCTTTGTCATCGTAATGTGGACAATCAATGTTAAATATGAAAAATGAGATGTTATAGTAGCTATAAGGGGTATCTCTTATGGTCCAACCTTCTATTTGCTTGAGCCAGAGTTTCCCTCTTGCTGTTAGAAGAAGGAATCCTTATCGTGTTGATACACATTTAGATTATTAGAATGTTGTCACCATGTTCTTATTTGCTGCACTGTCGAAAAGTGTATGGTCGATTAACTCTCGATCTATTATCTGACTTTTGTATTTAAACACAAAGCACCCTTGAAGCTTATGTTTTTGTTTAATTATATATCCACGGTGGAGACTGGAGAGGGCTGTAGATGCTTTGTCGTCAATCTGGGAGACCTCCATTGATTGAGTAGCGAGTTATTTGAGTCAATGCTAATTCTTCATTTCTATTTCAGTTGGGGAATCTTAACTCATTATTTGTAGTATTTTTCTTTGCATGTTACATGGAGATTTCTACATTATTTTTCATTGTATATGATGGTGATGAAATAAACAGTTTCGCGGTAAGACTTCTGATTATTCTCATATATACATGTTATTACCTAGCATGATATTGCATGATTGTATGAATGGATGGATGAGAATGTTAAATGTGAAGGATATTTTGTGGTCTCCTTTTATTCAAATGGGATATTGGAGAATGTTTTGTGATCTCCACTGATTGGGATCTATATAACCTCGAGCCTAATAAACTTGTGATAAATAGAGTTGTGTGTTGTATATTCTGAACTATATATTGGATTCTATGTGATTTTTTTGTTTGGGGACAATGACTTTATGATGGTATATGTGAATGCAACTATGCCAAACTTCTTGTGTTGGACTTGTTGGCGCTTTCTTTGAATCTTTTTTATCAATTCAAGTAGAAATTGTTAATTTCTCGTAGATTTCTTTGACCATGATGTAGCTTTTCTCTTGTCTTGCTAATAAGGTGCAAAAAAATTTTCTGTTGAGTTTTTCTCAGTTTTAGATCCTGTGTTGGTTCTAAGAGGGGTGGGTGGAGATGAGTAGGAGATTTTCCTAGCTTAGTTGGCTTGTTATATATTTATTTATATGTTTGATCTACTTTGCTAGTGTGCCATGGTCTGTAATAGTTGATTGAACCTTTAGATGGACAAGATTGATGGGATTTGGGTTGTGAATTTTTTTACGTTTGCGTATATTAGTAGGCTCGAAATTTAATGGAACAATTGGTATTTTAAATGCCAAATTGATGATCCCTAATGTAAGGGGCTTTGATGAAATTTTAAAAAGTGCTAGGGACAGCATTGTGGCATCTTTAAAAATGAGAACCAATGTGGAACACAGTCCATACATCACTGAACTAGTCATTTAACCTTTTTTTTTTTATTCAGGCTATCCATTTATTTTTCTCAATGTTGTTTATAAGTAATCTTTGAATTTTACACTTAGGTTTTATTAGTTTGAAATGCAATTCCATGTGTTTTTTTACTGCAGTCTAATAACTGATAGAAAAGCAGTACATGTCTGGTGAATTAGTAACACCCAAAAAAATATATATCTAACAATAAATTGATATGTTATTTAGGACATGCAAATTGAACTAAACAGTCAAGCATTTAAAAAAGGGACATTTACATATATACCACGCAATTCCTATGTATTTACATTTGTAACACCTAAACTTCACTTTTTTTTACGTTACACCACCCAAATCTATCATCTCACTTAAAATATACCACCATTTTAATTTTTAAAATGTGAAATACATCTTTTTAGGCTTAGCAAGGTGGCATGTATGTTAAAATTGAAGCCTAGATGTTAGATATGTAAATACATAGGAATTGAGTGTTATGTACGTAAATGTAAATCTTCCTTTATGTTAGATATGTAAATACATAGGAATTGAGTGTTATGTACGTAAATCTTCCTTTAAAAAAATAGCAAGCGAGTTGTTTGGATAGTATGAACAGGTTGTGACACGCAACTACTTCGACTGACCAGCAAGAAAATTCGAGCAACGATTAAAAAAAAAACTTGCCCATGCTGTAACAATTTTAGAAGGTTTGTCTTTTTTACCACCTCAATAATGAAGCTTTAAAGTTGAACTAGTCATATCAAATTATTTTTTAAATTTTTAAATCTAAACTAATTCATATTTTATCTGTATATTCATAATATGGTTGTATGGAGACAATGTGGGTATAGATAGAATAGCAGGATTAAGGTCAATAGCGGAGTTGAATCAGCAAAAGAAAAGAAAAATTTAAATATGTAACACACAATTTTTATGTATTGCATATCTAACAGCTAAAGTTTGTATCTACATTGATAACACTTTGGTGTCATAAATCGATGCATGAAAAGATGTATTTCACTTTTAAAAGATTAATAATAGCGTTATTTTTGATGTGACATTAAATATTTGAGTGATATACATGTAAATGTCAAAGTTTAGGTTTTAGATGTGTCAATATATAAGAATTTTGTGGTATGTATGTAAAATGCCCCCAAAAAAGGCAAAATCTGTAGAAAGAATTATGAGAATGAAAGGGCTTAGTAGAATTCTAAAATAGTAAATTGAAGAAGTTAAAATTACTAACCACCAAAATATCATTTAGGCATTAGAGAGAAACTTAAAATGGAAGGAGACAACTTGATGATGCACCAGCTAATGAAACAGAGCAGCATTGTAGATAATTGGGTTGCATGTATAAACCATCTCAACTTAAAATCAAAGAATTCTAGTATTGGGAGAAATATGGAAAATGACAAGCTACCAACATTTTTGGCTTGTCTTATGGGTTATTAAAACTCTATTCATTTAGGGGCCGTTTGGAATCATTTTTGCTTTTATTTAATTTTATTTATGTTTTGATTTGAAAAGAAATATGTTTGGCATATTTGCTTAAGATGTGATTGTTTTTAAAAATACTCAAAATACCTAAAATTTATTTTGAGTGTTTTCAAAAATCTGATAATTTATTTTTAGTAACAAAAAATAAAAATATGTAAAAACAGACTAAACAAACATATTTTTTTAAAATAAAGAAAAAAGTGAATACAAAAATGAAAATAAATAACAAAATTGATCCCAAACAAGCCCTTAGTATCTATGATTACTATCGTTGCGTGTCTCGAGACTACCTACGATAGATATTGATGCACCTGGAGATTTCACGTCAATTCCATGTGGTTCCTATTCAAGGGAATCATTTGATTTAGCTGTTTTAAAATTTTAATTTGTGGATTATGTTGAGTTATTTACTTAAAATGACGTTCGGAATGCGATATTATGTCAGCTATATCTACCAAATTAGAGGTGAGAAATCTATAAACATAAGTTTTTGAGTGGAGCAATAAGATCATTTTCACTGATTAAACCTCTCTCTTTTAGTTTTCAACATTTTACATGCCAGATGGATTTTTTTTTTCTTTAAGTGCCGTGAAAATGGGGCGATCTAATTTTTAGGGAACTCATTTCCTTGTAGTGATATGAGACCTAGATTTCCTTAGTAATTTCTTTTAACCCTATTTCATTTGCATATTTTGTTATTGACTTTTCATTAGTTTTGATTCTGTTCAAATTTGACATAACTGAGCTTCAATACACTGTTGCAATTATTTGATAATTTTGTTCAGTTCGAATTTTTTGTTGATTTCTTTCAACTTATTAAATTATTATTACGCAATCATATCGGTTCTGATATTTGTATTTATTGATATGGATTCAAAGAAAGAAAGATTTTTCTGTATTTAATGATCAATTATATATAAATTCTAGCATTAGACTAATTATACCCAAAATTTCTGCATCAAAATGTGGCCAGCCTTTTGAAAGGGATCCCTTAAAGTGAAGATGTAGAAATTGGAAAAAGACAGTAAAAAAGATGAGAACCAACATAAACTGCTGGAAAACCACCAATTGGTTAAGAATTTGAGGTTGCATAAGAGGGAAAATTTACCCATGGTGAAAGCTTCTTATATCAATCATGGAATGCATGTTTATGGGAATCATCATCATCATCATTATTAAAGGGAATTTACTTACATATCACAATTCGTATGTATTTACATATCTAACACCTAAAGTTTGATATTTTATGCCATAACACTTTAGTATTATAAAATTATGCAGGAAAAAGTGTATTTACTCTTAAAAAAAGTAGTCAAGTAATAGTGGTATTTTTAATGTAATGTTAAATAATTTAGTGGTATGCATATAAATATCAATGTTTAGGTTAGATATGTAATTATATAATAACTGTGCGGTATGTATGCAAATGCCCCTATTATTAATGGGTCAACAGTATAGGTTTTTACTCTTCCTTCATTTATATCTAAAGTGTTGTCTAAATATTATGTTTATTCTTTGCCAATGGTTTTGGAGTGTTCATCCATTCACTCATGCTCAAGTTTGTGGGAACGATGGTAGGGATTTTCTGAAACATGAAGAACTGCGGAATCAAAGAATATTGTATAAAATTATTAAATAATTGTAAAAGAAAGATTGAACCAGAAAAGGGTTTTCAAACAAGTGTATAAAATCATGAGTGAGAGAGAGAGGCCGGGATTATTTTTTGTTTTTGCTTTTTTTATTAAAAAATATATTTGTTCATTTTATTTTCATATATTATTATTATTATTATTTTAAAACAAATCAATTTATTTTTAAAAAAACACTCAAAATAATTTGGTGCATGTACATGCACACCACCCAATTCCCATGTATTTACATATCTACATCTAAACTTTTGCTTTTTACATTTATGTCACTCATATATTTCATATCACATAAAAAATAACACTATGTTAACTTTTAGAAAGTGAAATACACATTTTCATGCATAAGTAAAGGGGTATATATTTATAAATTGAAGTTTAGGTGTTAGATATGTTTATTCATATGAATTGAGTGAACCTTTCAAATAATTTTTAGAAGTATTTTTAAAAATAACTATCATAGCAACACCATCCACCTCTAGCTGCCACAAACCATTGACCACCATTGTCACTGCCACCGTCATTGCCTCACCAACCGCTATCACTCTTCCCGCGACGATCACCATCATGACTTAAATCAATTTATTTAATTTTCAATAAAATTAAAAATATATTTTTGAGGTTAAACATTTTTTTTATTTTAAATCAAGACAAACTAATAATAATAAGAATAAGAATAATAATAATAATAAATGAATAAATAATAAAAGTGATCCTGAAATGTTGCAGGCCCTCATGCTTGGATTCAGTATGTTCCGGGGGAACCGATACCCAGAAGTCGTCCCAACGAAGGAAGCGTGCAAGGAAGAAAACGTATAAAGCGCATCTTGCAAAGAAGGGCTTTTATTTTGGTACTATTATTTGAACCCTTTTTCTCTTTTTGTAGCTCTTGCACATATTCATTAATTCATGCTATTTTCATTTTATCCTCTCTTTCATACTTTTCTTACACTTTGTAACAATTTCAGATTTTCTCCTAACATTTATTTTTATCTGCTAGTACTAATGATTCTTTCCTTTTTTTCTGAGTTTTTTCGGAAAAAATATTGCGTCCTCTTTTTGTAGCTCTTGCACATTTTCATTAATTCATGCTATTTTCATTTTATCCTCTGTTTCATACTTTTCTTACATTTTGTAACAATTTCAGAATTTCTCCTAACATTTATTTTTATCTGTTAGTACTAATGATTCTTTTCTTTTTTTTCTGAGTTTTTTCGGAAAAAATATTGCGTCCGGACAACAGACGCGATGCACGGGATGCATGGTCGATGTCTTTTTTTCCCTCTATGGCATCGCCTACATCGCGTCCGTTGTCCGAACACAGCTTGCGTCCGGATTTCCTTCGCTGCATCACCTGCATCGTGTCCGTTGTCCAGACGTAGCTAGCATTCAGACTCCAGAAGCAATATTTTTTCGGTTTTTTTGTGCGTTTTATTCTTAGTAAACACATTTTTCATTAGAATGTTTGGGTCGGTATGACGATGAAGATGGTTTTTGATCATTAGATTTGCTTTGAGATGAATGTAACATATGACTGATAAATCAATTATTATGCTTCACTCATCTCAAAATAGATTCAATGGATGTAAAACTCTTCTTGATCAAATTTGGGGGCGGAATATCTCTACCCAAACACTCGGTTATAGCATTATTTCTTCAATTTCTTTGATCTTTTTATAGAGCGCTTATTTGGTTCATTTTTTATATTTCTTGATTCTCATGTCGAAGAAATTAAATAAGAGCAGTAATTGTAGGGTTCTAAATCAAAATTATCCCATGTATTGTGAATCTACTTAGTAAATACTCTATGTTTCATGCAAAGTGCCATTCCTCTTACATTTTCTTGCTGAAAGATTTACATACATGAGAAGGTGTATTTCACTTTTTAGATGTTAAAATAATGTTGTTTTATATATGATATGAAAGACTTAGTTATCAAAGTTTAGATGTTAGATATATAAATACATAAGAATGGGGCGGTATGTGCGTAAATAAAATCAGTATTATATCATTTTACCTTATTGGACGCCTGCATTATTTTTCATTTTCTGTTTGATTTTATTTATTTATTTTTATTTTTTTATTTATGTTTGGCAGACTGCCAAGAGGAAAAAACAAGCCGAATATAAAGTTGCCAGAAGGAAAAAATATATGGAGAGGATAGAGAGGAAGATGGCAGCTGTAGCTCGTGAGAAAGCTTGGGCTGAAAGGCTCAAAGAGCTTCAGGAGATTGAAGCTCAAAAGAAGGTTTCTATGGCTTCGTAAAAGAGCCCATGTGCTTGAAATTTAAATTTATCAACTTATATACTTTTAAATGCTTGTTGTGATTTTGTATTTCTGGTTGGCATGGTTTTGTGTTGGAATAATGAGGAATATGTAGGTCTTTTATGTAAAAAAAATGTTCATATGTTTTGTAAACCATAATTTTCATTAAAGTTTGATGAAATTAGGCTTAATTTTGGGTCTGTTTGGGCCATTTGCAACTACTTGAAGAAGTAACTGTGAAATAGTTGTGAAGTTGTTGCAAAAGAAATTGTTCAAAAAAAATTGCAACGGTTAGTGTAATTTTCTTAATTAGTGTAAGTTCTTAATTATAAAATATTTAGAATTGATTATTGTGATTAGATAACCGCATGAAAGGCATTGAGCATATTGTCAAGCTCCGCCATCTTCTAGAAATTGGCAAGGCAAGTATGGGATGGACGAATTTTGTAGAGAACAATTCAAGGGATTTTAGAAGATTCTGCCCAATTCTAGAGAATATGAGAAGGAAAGACTCTAAGTAGAACTCAAGAATAACCTAGAAAGTTCTAGAACTATAATGTATATATGAATAGTGGAGAAAACTCTAAAAATTAGGCCATTCTAGAATGTTCCCTTAGACTTGGGGGAGACTATAAATTGAAGTTCCTCATCTTTTTTGAACATCCAAGAAAACCTTCCAGGCTTTCAAACATTCAATTGTTGTAATATTTCTCTTTTAGTGAACTGTTCATTTCTCCAATACTTTTCCCTACTCTTCTTCCTATAGTGTTTTGTGCTCATAAGTCTGAGCGTTGTGAGGGTTAGACTCATTTAGTGCTAAAGAAGAACGCTAAAGCGGCATATCTTCTTCCTATAGTGTTTTGTGCTCATAAGTCTGAGCGTTGTGAGGGTTAGACTCATTTAGTGCTAAAGAAGAACGCTAAAACCACATATGTGACTTGAGATAAATTAATCCGTGATAATATACTTGACATGAACTCTTAAAAATTAGAATTTATGACATTAAACTCTAGTTTTTATATTTATGCCATCTAATTTTTTGCATATTGTATCACAAATAATATAATTTTAACTTTTAGAAAGTGAAAAAGATATATTCTTGCATAAGCAAGGTGGGATTCATGTAAAAATTGAATTTTTTTTTAAAATTAAATACATTTAAATTGCCGCATCCTTAGAACATATAAACAGAGGTTATCATTGTAATGCTCACTTTGGATTCATTTATTTATTTTAATTTTTTTTCAAACTTTACATTCAGTCAGGTAACATATTCTGTATAGTTCCAACTATTTTTTATTTCTTAAAAAAAATTATGATAAAATTATTTTTATAATAAAATTTAGGGATAATTACATACAAACCACTCGAAATGTTGATATTTACAAATTAACTGTCCAGATAAATTTTTTGAACTATCAAACTGATGCGTTATATGTGCAACAATCAAACTATTGAGAATTTAATAAAAATGAAAAATGTGGTTGAGGTTTTACAATAAATTTATATATCAGATTGAACAAATTTTGATATCATTGGGTTTATCTTGTCGAGACAGTCAATTTGACTATAAGCTGGCCCCATATGACCTTGAATTTGAAATTTAAAAATCCTTCATTGAATTCATGCTCGATAAATAATTTCTTGATCACACATCAAGGATGAATATCCTTAATTTTTTCTTATTCCTTGCATGCACAATTCTTATGTATTTGCATATCTAACACTTAAACTTTCATTATTATATTAATAAAATGTAGTCAATATTGATATTTTTCATGTGATTTTAAAGATTTAAGTGTTAAGTATGTGCATAAGAGAATTTAGGTGTTATATATATAAATACATAAAAATGCAGGGGTACGTATGTAAATGCCATTTTTTTTATTCGGTTATTTTGGTCAACATACATTAGTGCTAAAGCCGCATATGTGACTTGAGATAAGTTAGTTCGTCATAATATACTTGACATGAACTCTTAAAAATTAGAATTTATGGATAATACATAATAATATTTTGGGGCATTTAACTGCATAGAAACATCTAAACTCTAGTTTTTATATTTATGCCATCAATTTTTTTGCATATTTATCATTGTAGTGCTCACTTTTGATTCATTTATTTATTTTAATTTTTTTTTCAAACTTTACATTCAGTCAGGTAACATATTCTGTATAGTTACAACTATTTTTTATTTCTTAAAAAAATTATGATAAAATTTTTTTTATAATAAAATTTAGGGATAATTACATACAAACCCCTCAAAATATTGATATTTACAAATTATCTGTCCAGATAATTTTTTTGAACTATCAAACTGATGCGTTATATGTCCCACAATCAAACTATTGAGAATTTAATAAAAATAAAAAATGTGTGATTTTTATTTGAGTGAGAATTTGAAAAATGAATAAAAGAGAGCGGTTGATTTGTAAATAGAAAGTTTACGGTGATTTGTAGGTAATCGCCCTCTTTCATGGGCCTCAAAATCCCATTTTCCTCTCTTACAAAGAGGTCTGGTTGCCTCTTTTTGCCAAACTCACTTGTCTGAGTGATTTGTTGAGCTCATTTGTTGAAGTGACTTGCCGAGCCTTTTCATAATCGCCCATCAGAACTCACAGAATGTACCACCATATCACGACCTTCTTGCAAGGATATCATAGACTGGACCCTACACTGTATGACCCACATTTGATTTCCCTAATTTTCTTCTCCCTTGTCAGGTAAAAGGGTAGGAAAAAAGAAACCCACGAGAAGAGGGTGATATGTGTTGAGGGACTTAATGATCTTAGAATCAAGCTAGCTTTGACTTGTTGGATTGTGCTCGTTGAGACGTTCAATCAGGTTATGCATCTGTCAAATTTGGAGTTCACTTAACCATTAAATTGACAATCTAAAACCTTCAAAAAAAAACTTTTAAGGACTTGAGCTGGACTCAGATTGAACAAATTTTGGTATCATTGAGTTTATCTTGTCGAGACAGTCAGTTTGACTATAAGCTGACCCCATATGACCTTGAATTTAAAATTTAAAAATCCTACATTGAATTCATGCTCGATAAATAATTTCTTGATCACACATCAAGGATGAATATCCTTAATTTTTTCTTATTCCTTGCATGCCACACAATTCTTATGTATTTGCATATCTAACACTTAAACTTTCATTATTATATTAATAACCCTTTGGTGAAAAACTATATTTCACTTTTAAATGTAGTCAATATTCATATTTTTCAAGTGATTTTAAAGATTTAAGTGAAGTATGTGCATAAGAGAATTTAGGTCTTACATATATAAATACATAAAAATGCAGGGGTGTGTATGTAAATGCCATTTTTTTTTTATTCGGTTATTTTGGTCAACATACATT